ATTCTATGATTCTATGATTCTCATGCTGAAAAATTTCCCTCTCATGTCCAGTCAGAATCTCCCCAAAAGCAACTTGTGTCCATCCCCCCTTGTCCTCTCCATGTGACTCCTTGTGAACAGGGAGTCTCCATCTTCCTTGTAGCTACCCCTTAGGTACTGGTACGTGGTGATGAGATCCCTCCTGAGCCTCCTTTTCTCTAGGCTGAACAAACCCAGTTCTCTCAGCGTGCCCTCATGTGGCAGGCTTCCCAGGCCTTTGATCATCCTGGTGGCCTTTTTCTGGACCCCCTCCAGCCTGTCCACATCTTTTCTATAGTGGGGACCAGAACTGTACACAGTATCCAGGTGTACACAGTATTCCAGGCGCTACATCCAAGCCGGTGTGGTGGAGATGAAGGCTGAAAGGCTGCGGGCAAACTAGTTGTCCAGAGAGAGGATTTTGTTGGAGCTGAGACAAGCTTTTTCTCTGTATTAACACCAATTTTCTGCCCGTGCTTCTGTTGCATTGTCAGTGCATTGTGAATATACCTGAATGAGAGGAACAATGCATGTCTCAAAGAAAAAAAAATAGTAATGATATATGAAGTGCTGTTACCTCGTACAGTGGCTGATACCCCATACTTGGGTTGAGGTGCATTGCTTTCGAAAGCTGCTCAGTTCATGGTGACCTGATATGTCATCTGAAGGTAACTAAACTGTGTTGACAGCAGATTGTGCCTTTGTCTGCCTGAGGAGGTGCTAGCCAAAGAGATAAATTATCCATGTTTGAAATGATGTCTGCAGTCTCATTCATCGTGTGGAAACTCAATGTGTGTATGATCCTTGCAGCATCAGGCAGAACAGCTGTCATCTCGGGGTCTCCGTCAACGTTTGTGTGATCATCCTGTTTGACAGGGGGCTTGCTGGACTGTGGTGACATGTTAGGGGACGTGTGGGATGCCAGCAGTATCGACTGTCTGACCTATTGGTCTCTGACTGTTCTCTTCACAAACCTCACAAAACTGTGAACCGTTATGCTGAATATAATTTTCAGCTGCTTGCTTAACTATTTTGTCTGCGAAGTAGATCCAAAAAAAGAGCAGTGGTTGAAGTACAGTGAGATCTACTGCTGCGCCTCCTCCCTGGCAGTGGCAATCATGTCTGAACTGCCATGATACTAAGTAAAAAATAGCTAAGTGGTAGCTGGTTTATCATCAAAGGATGAGTTTTGCATGAAGAGTAATCATGAGCAAAAACTTACTGCCAGAGGGGGAAAAAAAGACGATAAACAGCAGTTTAATCCTTATTTGGAATATTGGCCGCTTTGAGCCCGCCATAGTCCATCTTACAGGTTGGAAACAAAACTATTGCTTTTTAAGAGCTTGTCTGATCATGCCCTTGTCAGGACTGCTACTACGTGCAAGGCTCCATTCACGTTTTCTTTTTTAAACTCAGTAATTCAGAGATGGTGGCTTTGTCATCATTCTTCACCAGAATGAAGTAAATGCTTAGGATGACTTCTTTGCTTTCAGTTTTAGATACCATGTGACTCTGCTTATGCTTGAACCTCATAAAATAGCAACATTTTACAAGGACTGTATCAAATGTTTAATGTTATTGTTATTGTATTAGCAAGTGCCAAGAGATAAGGAAAGACTTTAATTCATGCTCTTTGCTTCTACCGTTATTTCAGATGATGACTGCTGGGTGAATTGCTATCGGCACCCATAGCATTACTGTATAAGTGAGGGAGCCAGTATCTTTTCACTGTTTTGTACTTGTTTAACCTATGTTAGCAGTTTGGTGTTACATGTTTTCTTGGATGCCTGCAAAACTCCCTTTGTTTCTGAGCAAGTCGACATGTACTCTTTGACTACGTGAAACGGTGGCCTAGGAAGGCAGGCTCCCTCTAGAAATGGATATCACCATGGAAACACACAGGCTGAAAGTACGATTAAAGATGCATTCTGTTGTCATGGAATGGACTACAGGACATTGTCTTGGAGGATTCAGCCAGTACTGACTTCAGCTGTGGCCTGCCACGTGTTGTTTGTGATACTTTTTGTGCCCCCAAAGGACACATTATTTGTTCATTTGTGCCATACTGGTTTGTATTTCAGCATTTTTGTTTCTTAGCTTTTGCTGCCATGCTGATGAATAACACTTAGAAGCAGCATGTGAATGAAATCTCAAGGCACCATCAGAAAGCCTCGCTGCACCTTTTTTCCCCCACTTACGTAGGAGGGACGGGACTATGGGTCAGGAGTACCGAAACGTTTAACAGGCCAGTGGCATTAGTGCCTTCATGTTTTTTTAGCAAGGGGTGTGGCACTTCTGCCTGCTTCCA